CCTAAAACCCTAAACTCTAAATCCATAACCCCTAAATCCCTCAACCGTCAATCCCTAAATGCCTGGCAAGCTGAGGGGTCAACCTTGGCATCTTGGCACAAAATTGCTGCCCGTGAGAATACTACTTGGAGGGTCACTGGGTTTAGGGTTTAGGGTTCAGGGTTCAGGGTTTAGGGTATAGTATTTGGAGGGTCAGGGAGACTTAGTGAGTAGGTTAGTAACCCCTATAACCCATATAATAGCCCTAGTTATCCCCATTATTAACCTACTTACTAAGTCGTAAGTGTTTAGGGATTTGGGATTTTGGGGTTTAGGGATTTAGGTTTCCCGGTTTAGGGATTTAGGGTTAGAGGGTTTAGGGATTTAAGGTTTAGGGTTTGGGATTTAGGGGTTTAGGGATTTAGGGTTTTAGGGCTTAGGGTTTTTGGGGTGAGGGTTTAGGGATTTACGGTTTAGGGGCAATGGGGATTCAGGATTTAGGGTTTTGAGGGGCTTCCTGGAGTAGGTTTGGGCTTTGGGGCTGAGATTTACACGGATCCCATCATGAGGGTCAGATTGCGGAGGGTACCTCAATGTAGCCCCCCAAATGCTATACTCCACGCCCTGTAATAGTGGTGTGACAGGAAAATGAGAGGACCCTAATATAATCCTTATTGTCCCTTATAGTCACTATTACTGGGTGAGTAGTCCACCTAAGCTATAATCCTTTTCATGGGGACTCCCAAGAAGCGACTCCTAATTTGCGCTGGCGACGTGCCTATTTAGGGTTTAGGGTTCTCATGAGAAGCTTTACTATCTCCCCTCACCTGGAACGTCAGGACGGCTCAGTAAGTAGGTGAAGATTGGGCGCAACTGGGGATACCTGGACCCCAAAAGTATGTAAAACAATGGCTTTAAAACCCCCTAACAACAGCCCACAAGGCAATTATTTTACATGCTTTTAGGGTTCAGGTAGTCAAAAGCTCAGTTTTTTGGGCCTGGAAACTCAGCAGCGGCTTAGGTTCAGGAAGGATCGCGGAAGTCCTGAGTCAAGGGTTGCTCCTGGCTGACATTTTAATAGATTTTATCACGGTAATGTAGAAGGCTGAATAGCTGCCGATATAATGGTCCTAGATTCCTTGTATACTCATGGTGTAGGGTACCTAAATAGACTTCGAAACCCTAGTGTCTAGACAACCATATCATTCCGGGCCCCATTTAACCCCCAAACCCGAAGCCCTAAACCTGCAGCCCTTGCGTAGAGAAAGGTGGAACAGGAGCACTTCAAAGAAAGAAAGTGCAGGCCCTAAACCCCATGAGCTATAGTCTAAACTCCTTAAACAGGGGGCTATAGGGGATATATAGAGGGGTATTATAGGGTTACAAAGGGGTATATTAGGAGTTAAGATTACAACCCTATACCCTAAACCCCTGGGTGTCAGCCTAGGCTCCGAACCCGAGCCTGCAGAATCCACCCAAAAAGCCATAAGCCCAGACCTTGAACGCACACCCTGAAACCCTGAACGACGCCCCTAAACTCAAAATTCCAAATTATTCCCTAAATCCCCCAACCCCAAGTCCTTAAATCCCTATACACTAGATCCCTAAATCCCCAAATCCCTAAACCCTAAGCCTTAGGCCATGAAAGGAAGCCCCCTGAAACTTGCGACGCGGAGGCGGAATTGTCCTTTGCACCCATGCGGCCATGAGGATGATGGAGCAGCAGTCGCTTGAACAAAAAAAGGTTTGGGGCTTAGGCGGCTTAGGGGTTTAGGTTACAGGGTTTGGGGCTTAGGGTTTAGGGTTTACGGGTTTAGGGTTTAGAAGAAAGTGAGAACATGTATTCAACAACCGGTAAATGGACAAGCAGATGTAGAAACCTTATCTAGCGGTTATAGGGATAATTGCCAGCGCTTACTATGTTCCTAGTTGTCTTATATGACCATGGTAGAGGGTTCCTGAAACAGATAGACTTCAACATGATTTTGGTGTTTGTTAAAGCCTTCGAAGCAGGTAAAATCCTGCGAAGGCTTAAGTTCAACAAGGCAGATAACCTTTGCTGGTTTGACAGGTAGCGGAGGTGTATAGACGAGTTGCGTTGAATCCGTTACATACGCGAGGGGATGTCCCTCAATACGGGTCCCTATAGTTGGGTCGGGCCCTATATGAGTTTCCCCAACCTGGATTAACAAGCAATCCCCTCCCCCAAATAATCCACCCCCATGCCCCTCTGTTTATACAATATTCCTTTTTTCACGTACCAGAATATATTGGGAATGTTTAATGTTAGGAGGACTGGGCTAGGGGATTAGGTGTGCGAAGAGCAGCTAAGCTTCGCACAGCTGCCATCCCTGACCCAGGAAAGAACGTGATCGGGCTGATATCTCCTTTTTTGATGACTGCTATGCGACATGTTTAGATTAGAATGCTTGTAAGTGATGTTTTTTGCCCACACAAAATCCGGAGTCCTTGATGCAGGTACCGCATCAAGGGACAAAGCGAGCTCTTTGTTTTGAATCTGATATGAGCCATAACCTAAACTCCTGAAAGGGGGTTACGTAGGAAATATACAGCACAGGAGACTACTATAGGGCTTATTAAGGGGGACAGACTAGGAGTTTAGACTATGGCTCATATCTAAAAAGGCCAGACCTTGAGTTTCCGGAAACGCTGCAGACATGCTTTCGGCAGATGTCTGCATGTTTGTCATGGCATACTTGGGTCAAGGGGACCATGTTTAAGCAGGGTGATAATACGGAGAATGAGGAGAACTATATGAGTTATAGGGCTCACTAACCAACTGAAAAAGTCCCCTAAACTCCTAAGCCCTGAACGCCAAAACCTGCATATCCTATATACCCTATATAGCCCCTATAGACTCTTCAAGTAGAAGCATGACAGCTCCTGCAATCATTGGCCTTGTTTTGGGCATTGCCTCGCAGATGCTAAGGGATTGCGGGATTTTATGAGCTTACATAGAGGGAGCCTCATGTTGAGATGTACACTTATGCAAAAGGAGTTAAAAGGAGGTGCCAAAAACTGAGACAAAGTGCGTGATTCTGAGGACGCCCCATGGGCCATTTTGAGCGGTGCAACACATGCCCACCTTTGCCCAAGGAGAGGCGTGGAGAGCCACATCTTCAACACGGTTGGCAGCGGTGCAGCTGCCCTACTCTTGCTTGCTTGTACATGCCTTCACACCCATGCTGTTTACGTGTCAGTACACGCAAGAAGGGATAGACAGACGAACGAATGAGGTCAAGGGTGGCGGCACGCCTGGATATGTCACCTATGGCGCGACCAAGCGCGGCCTGCCCCAGATGACGGAATCCCTAGTCAAGGAGATCGAGGCACCCCCGCATGGAAAAGCATGTGAAAAAGAACATGGAAGATGAACCTCAAATTTATTTCTAGAGCAAAAAGCCCTAAACCCCCCACCCCCCCCATTATGGAACATCAAATGGAAAAGAGCGTGGAAGATGAAATTGGATTTATAGAAGCGAAGGTTTAGTGTGTAAGGATTAGGGGATGTTTGCAATTTAGGCTTCAGGTGTATGTATGTATATATGTCTGCATGAGTCCTTTTTGGGGCCCCAGGAATCTACGCTAGCTATGTGCTTGTTCTTCTGATCCTGCTGCTGCAAGGTAGGCACGGAGGAAGTGGGTTTTTGCATCTGAGACATTGCCAGCTGATCTGAGTCTTGTTCGGGTTTAGGATTTAGGATGTAGGGCGTGCTGTCATCGTTCTTCATATGAGGGTCATGCAAGTTGCGAGTGCAATCCTTGCCACTGTTTGGACCGAATCCCGGTTGCCGGGCCATTGCTGAGAGAAGAATAGGTTGCTATTTGACCTTAATATAACCTCAATATATCCATAATAGAACCCCAATATAACCCTGAGTAGCGCAGCACCTCACAGCCGCCCAGCAAAAACCGGCACCTGCGTAGTATTTGAAATCCTGGCATTCTAGTCCTCAATACCGAGAAGAGATCTTTCTTTTGGGTATATAGTCCCCCTTAAGTAGATAGAATATGGGGTATATGGGGATCTTAATACAATAGACCCAAAGCCATATTCTATCTACTTAAGGGGGACGAGAGTAATTTGTGAGCAGAAGATCGTATTGCTTAGCTGGACTGCCCAAACACCAAACTCTTATGAACCATGGAAACCCTGCACATCCTGTAGGTCCTCTAGGTTCAACTACCACAAACCCTAAACCCCAAACCCTAAACCTTAAGCCCAGCGAAAACAACGCCAGCGATTCTGCAGGAGGGAGTCCAAGGGCAACTTGGTGGCACTTAGGGTCTAGGGTGTAGGGCTTCGGAAATATTGAATTCGAGGGACTCCGTGGCTAAGGCACCTTTGTGGAGATCATGAGCAAAGATTGTATACAGGAACATCCATACTTCTTCCTCGAAGAGCGACCTGCAATCCTGCTGCCTTTTATGTAGAAAACCATACTAGCTATGCGGGGAGGAAAAGGTCCGAGAAAAAAAACAAAACAACTCTGAACATGTGAGCAAGCAGGTAACGAATAGTGTTTATAATCCCTATATAACCCCATATAACCCCTGTAGTTCCCTTTTTCTTTTCCATTATCCCTATATGAACCCCAAGATATACCCCTAAACCCTAAACCCAAACCCTTAGTGTTGCCAGGTATGACAAGGTGGAGACGCCCGGAAAGGTCAATTGCCACTGCCTTTCGCCTGGCATGGCCGCTGACTGAGAAGTGCAATGAGTCCAGGGTTTGCTATTGGGCAGTTAAGGGTTTAGGTTTTAGGAGTCAAGATTTGGGATATTGGGGGTATGTTAGGGTTATACTGGGGTCATATTGGGATAATGGAAAATAAAATGGAAGCTACTATTTAGGGTTGCACCAATAAACACTATTATTTGGGATATGCTTGTCAAGCTTGTACAAGTTTAAACAGCACCCTTTGCTGGATGATCATGCAGCAGTATTTTCCGCAGAAGTGTAATGCGACGGCAAATATGGTTTCTGAACGCTTTGCCGTGCGAATGCAAGCAGCAACAACAACAACAACAACAACAACAGCCTGCATGCAATCTGAACACTCGTCCCTATGAGACCTGTTAGACCAGATGATCTTCAAGCTTCACTTATGCCTGGGCGTATAAGCTTACGCATAATTCCCCTAACTGGACTTGGTGCGATTATCTATTCCTAGTTAGAAGCAATGAGCAGGCAAGCAGCACCATGTAGGGGCCCCCCAAGACCCTAAACCCTAAAGCCTAAACTTAGGGCCATCAAGGACCTAAGGAGGGAAGCAGTCTTGCTGTTGGTTAGTAAGCAGTGGAGGACTAAATACCGCGGTTTAGGGTTTAGGGTTGGTCAGCAAGCAATGGAGGAATGAACCCCAAACCCTACACCCTAAACTGAATCCCCATAGTGATGCCTCAGAATGATCCCTGCAACCCATTCCTGCATCCCCTGCTGACCCTAAACCCTAGATAAATCCGAAATGCTATACTTGGAGGGTCAGGGGAACTTAGTATAATACAAGTACCTATACCTACTACTAACCTACCTTTTTAAGTCCCCCTGTCCTCGAAGTAGTAGCTTCCATTTTTGGATTCCTTCATTCCCTGTGAGTCACCCTGAAAGATGTGCTTTTCATCGTCGCTTGCCAGAAGTCCTATGCCTTAAGTCCCATACAGCCTGTGCATCCAAAGAGACATAACATCTTTGACATTGAAGTCACCGGTCCGTGAAGGCTCTGAAGGGCTTACGGTTTAGGGTTTATGGCTCAGGATTCAGAGATTTCATTCCAAAGCTCCATGAAGCAAAGGCCTTTGCGTTAAACTTAGCGTCTTCACGGAGAATCGCAGTGTATAAGGTGGCCCAAGGAATCCAACGCCTTTGTAGAACCCTTTTCGGCAAAAGTCAGGGTTTAGGGTTTTAGGGTTTTTAGTATTTAGGGTTTAGGGCTTTAGGGTCTAGGGTTCAGGTTTGGGGGTTAAATTAGTTCCTTGACAGCAGCTTAGCCCACCATCTTCCTTGCCATCATTCTCCGCGGCATTTTACCCCATGGGCAGGGCAGTGTTTTTTTTGGCAGGTATCTACTTCATATTTCATACATATGTACGCATACCCATGCATATGTATGTAGGGTTGTTTTGGGGCATACAGTCTCTTACAATTACCATCGCAGATAACATTCATGCTTGGGAATCTGCCTACCTGGGCTTCATGCCATTTTCACTATGATCCAATTTTGATAACAGAGCCAAACCCTATACAACCCCTACATAGTCCTTCAGACCCCTGAAACCCCCTTAACCCCGAACCTTAAACCCCTTGAACCCCGTAAAGGGTCCTAAGCCCTAAAGGGAGCCCAACATGGGAGGTCTTCACAGACCTGCTTTTGAACGACTCGACGCCTGAGTTGCGAAAATTCCCTTTCGGGGTCCTGGCTGCGCAGCCGGAGGAGGCCCCGCCGGTGCCAGCAGAGTAGAGAGTGGGGTATATAGGGTTTAGGGATCGATGCTTTAGGGGTTGGGTTTTAGGATTCAGGGTTTAGGGTGTGGGGTTAAGTTGGGAGTGTCTCAAAATGGCACCCAGGGACTTCAAGAGATACATGGGGATCATGACAGGATTTGGAGGTCCTTATTTGGGGAATCTCTAGAGATGATAGCAGCAGTATTGTTCATAGACCAAATCTGGCTTCATCCGGGGCCACCGCATGATTGCAATTCCCAGGACATATTCAGGGTCCTTCAGGTAGTGTAGGATCACCGCCGCCGGCAGTATCAGCATAGCACTGCAAGATAGGTTGAAAATGGGCATTGCCATCTCAGTTGTACCCATATGCAGATCTTGAAGCCATGTCAGCAATAGAGTACCTTACCGGCAACTGGAATAAACAAAGAGAGCTGGGACATCATACAAGTTTTACCCCTTCTGATCGTGCACGGAGACTGCAAAAAAAGCAGTCGCGTTGGACCAGTCATGCGACTTCACAAAGATAGCTTTAATGGTCTCCTTACGGGGGTTAGTAGGGACTACGGGAATTTATCATATACTGGAAGCGCTAAATATGGAATATTCCCTGAAGGACTACTCACCGCCAGTAAGTCCCAGATCATGCCAATTTCCTCGCGGACAAGGGCAGCAGCAATATATCAGCCGTCATGACGGATATGTTTTGGATGCTACCCCCACTCATTAACCTTTGGATAATAGGTATAATGACCGCTATTATCGACTTGTAGACTGTTAATGGGTGGGGGCAGGACCCAAGATACAACTGGCTTATTCTTACGCTATTTTCTTGCCATTTGTAGGAGGTACTTGACCTCAAATAGCAGTTCTGTGTTGCACGGATGCCTGTGCAGTCTTAAGGGCCTTCATAAAGGCAATGACTTCCAAATCTTTCCGCGGTTTAGAATTAAGGTCCACGTTTTTCAGACTCTCAAGTCAGCAGAGCAAAGATTCTTTGAAGGCATTAGAGCTTCAAGACGATTCATGCTACAAGTCCTGCATGACGTCAAATGCCTTCTACCCCGGGACTTGTTGCATCGACGTATACTAAGGTCGTTTTTTTCGTGCCAACAATAGTAGAAGGCATTAATGCGACAGTGGCTATCTATTTCTGTTCGGTATCATGAGCTACTATTCAGATTAGCCTTCAACAGTGGACATAGTGGTCCCTTTTGTCATCTTCTAGAGTCCCTAATATAGTCCCTGAAAAGGAAACATAACAATTGAATTGTGCAGGAAATATTGACTGTAGCTGATGTGCGGTTGATTGGCTCCCAGATCGGTCCAGATACTGCCAGGTGGCAAAGGACTTGGTGCCCAAGATTCTTGGAACCAGTGGCAATGGCAAGTCTGCTGCCCGGCGAAAGATGACGAATGAGCGCTCACCGGATGGGTTCCCCAAATGGATTCCATACCTGAAGTGTCAGGGGACCTTCGCAAGTAGGATAATCAGGGTTACTATATGGATTGTAGGGGTTATAAAGCTACTTACTAAGCCCCCCTGACCCTCCAAGTAGGGAGTGTTTTGGGAACCCTAAACCCTAAACCCTGAACCCCTAAACCACCCGCAGCTTACTGCCGAGGCTAGAGAGATTGTCAAAGCAGGTGGTCCTCAAGAACCCACGGGCCGATGGGTTAAGGGTTTAGGGTATCCAATGTATGGGTTCAGTCTTTAGGGTTTATAAGGTTCGTTAATAAGAGATGCTTTGGGGACAGATTTGCGAAACTTCGTTGCAGAATCCGTGGGTATCCTGCATATAAAAAAGGGTGAATGCAGGTATAAGACATATACTTAGGGCCCAAAGGGGTCCCCATATACCTACTTTAAGGACGTAGCTTGTATAACTAGGGGGGAAGAATTACTTGCACTCTCATATCTTGCGCGGTGAGCTTGGATGCTCAATTGCAGAACTCTGCAGAGACATTTCCCAACCCTAAACCCTAAATCCTAAACCCTAAACCGTAATCCCGGAACCCTGATCCCTAAACCCTAATCCCCAATCCCCAAACCTGTCTCATCTTGGCAAGGTGGAGTTCCTCACAGTGGACAAGATCCTGGGTTGCTGTTAAGGAGCTTAAATTAAGTTACTATACTGGGGAAACCCTATTATTTACTAAACATTCCCATTATGGTAACTTAATTCCCTAAACCCTAAACCCTGTATACCCATTATCGTAACTTAATTCCCTTAACCCTAAACCCTATATACCCATTATGGTAACTTGATTCCCTAAACCCTAGACCCTATATACCCATTATGGTAACTTAATTCCCTAAACCCTAAACCCTATATACCCATTATGGTAACTTAATTCCCTAAACCCTAAACCCTATATACCCATGGTAACTAAATTCCCTAAACCCTAAACCCT